CCGCTGCAGCACGTCTGCAAGGTCGGTGCAGTGACCGGTTGTGGAGTCCCCCAGCTGCGTGGGGGCTGTTTTCGATTCTCCCAGCCTCCCCGGTCCCGTCGGCCTCCGTTGTGCCGCCGCCAGGGCGTTTCCTTTGCACTGCGCCCTTCCCCGGTATGCGGCTCTTCTTGCAGAGCCCCGCCGCCATCTCCCGTGGACGCTCAGCTCAGATGTCCTGTGTGGGCCCCAGGCAGTCCTCGGCCCCTGGCCGCCGACGGGATGCCTTTTGTGGACTCCTGGCTGTCTTTGGCCTTCACCTTCTCTCCAGCCCCCCTTGGGCTTGGATCCGCTTCGCTCTTCCTCTTCCCGCGCCTCGTCTCACGCCCTTGGCCTCCGGGGTTGGATTGCCACCCTTGGTTGGCAGAGTGGTGCGCTCGCCACCTTGCTCTCCCTCTTTCAGCGCCTCGGCTCGGACCAGTGTTGGGTCGGGCATGTCCCCCATACAGGGGGATTCTGGGCGTAAAGTTTACAATTCTCACAACATACCCCCCAAAAGCTAACAAAAAGTCAGCACAAATCGTCCCCAGACCACTTTTCGACTAGTCTTGAAGATTCCTCCTGCAGAGGGACACGCCCGACTGGAGACCAGTGGCCCCCTGCCGAGGCCGTGCCTCGCCCTGCCCCCGGGGCCCCTGCTGCGCCTCTCCTCGCCCCCTGGCGGCCTGCTGGGCCCCGCCCTCGCCCGCTCCTCCGTCGGGGCTGCCCTCTCCGGGCTCGGCCTCCTCGCCGCGCGCGCCGCTCGGGCCCGCCTCGGGGTGGCACCCCCGCCTGGCGACTGGCCGACGCGGCCTGCCCCGTCGGCTCGTCCGCTGCACTGTCGCGCCTGCTCTCCGTCGCGTGCCGCTTCGTCCGCCCGCCTGGCGCGCTCGCCCCCCTGCACCCCCGCTGCCCGTGGCTCTCGTTGCTCGCCGTGCTGAGCCTCCACTTGTCGCCTGGGCTCTGCCCTGTCGTCCGCTGCGCCTTCGCTGCCCGTTGGGTGCGCATGGCACGGCCGATCCTGCATGGACCTGTGCTCCGCTCTGAGGGGCCCGCCGCACGCGCGCCCGCTTGTTCAGTACCTTCTCCGCTTCGTCGCTGCGCGCGGGGCCGCGGTCACCAAAAAAGAGAGACAGTGTGTGTGTGTGTGTGTGTGTGTGTGTGCGTGCGTGCGTGCGTGCGTGCGTGCGTGCGTGCGTGTGTGTGTGTGTGTGTGTGTGTGTGTGTGTGTGTGTGTTTGTGCAGGCGTGCGGGCGTATGTGGTACTTCCAACGTGTTGCCGGGTGCCAAGGGCGCCGAGCAACGTGCCAGCGACCACCGTCCACTGCCTGCTCTACGTGTTCATCCTCCTGGGCACCGCCGTCCTCGCCATCGGGTTCCGAGGCCACCTCGGCTCAGGGCCAGCGGGGGGGCTGGGACCAGGGAGTGGGGCCGGGGGCTGCCCGCGCTTCTGGGTCGCCTCAGCCCATTTCCTGGTAGGCGGGGGGCGATGGCGTCGCAACGCCGCGAGCGAGCGGCGGTGCAGGCAGCCCTCGTCGGCCTCGTCGGGGGCCTGCGGCGCTGGGAGGCCGCGGACGGCGTCGCCGAGCACGAGCTGCGTGGAGCCCTGGACGCCCTGGCGCGCGCGGAGTACCTGGCGCCCGCAGGCCTGGGCCTGCTCGGGGTCGCCGGCGCGCTCCACGGGGAAGCGGTGGCGGCCGCGCGCGGGGCCCTGTGGCTGCGGGCGGCACGCGCGTGCGAGCGCCTGCGGGAGCTGGTGGGCGAGATGCAGGAGCCCGCGCCAACCGGCCGCGGAGGTGCCCGAGTGGCGGCTTCCAGCGATTTGCGGCTATCGCGCGGTCGATCGCTCCGCGAGAGGTGCGGTGGCCGTCGCGATCGGGCCCCTTCCTCGATGTCCGTGCCGTCCCCGGCGGAATGTCCCCGCGATCATCGATCGAATGATCGCGTGGTCACCGATCCCGCGTCGTTCTGCCACTGGCGTGAAGCCGACGCGGATGAGGCCTCCCCACCCTGCATACCGTGGTCATTGGTCGCGCGATCGCTGGTCGCGCGATTGGCCTGCAAGCGTTGCTGCCTCCCAGCTGGGGCTATCGGGGGCTGTGGATTGGGAAACGGCTTTTTGGCTCCCACCAAAGCTGGGGCACGCTGTCGTATTCTCAGTGCAGCAAGAGGGCCCCGGGCGGAGGAGAGGTGGCAACATCTTGAGTCGGCAGGTGTGCCAGGGGTCCACGCCATGCCTGATGCCCGAAAGGCGCGCCCCGCGCCCTGCCCTCGAGGGGCAGGGGCGGGCTCCCTTAACGGAGCGAGCGCGACTCTAGCCTCCGGCTTTCGTTCGCTCGTTCGTGGTTTCAGGGGTCAGGATGGGAGGTTTCTCCGAAGGGCTTAGGCGACCCGTCCTTCTCCTCCTCCTCCTCCTCCTCCTCCTCCTCCTCCTCCTCCCCCTCCTCCTTCATCTCCTCCTTCATCTCCTTCTCCTAACTTGTTACATGTCTCGCATTGCATGAATCCAGACACCTCAGATCCTGAAGGCCATGGCCTCACCCACCTGGTCTGCTTTAGGCCCGGACGCTGTTCGCAACGATGGTCGCATCGCATCGCATCCTCCTCCTCATCCTCCTCCCTCCTCCCTCCTCCTCCTCCTCCTCCTCCCTCCTCCCTCCTCCTCCTCCTCCTCCTCCTCCTCCTCCTCCTCCTCCTCCTCCTCCTCCTCCTCCCCCCTCCCCCTCCCCTCCCACTCCCCCCCCCCCTCCTCCTTTCTACAATTACTCAATATGAAAATACTCTCCCTCTTCCCCTGATGGCGTCCGGGTGATGGCCGCGCACCCTCCGCGTACTGTTTTTTTACACACAGGATTCCCGGGAAATCCCGGGAAACGACTCTCGCTGAGGCGCCGGCGTCATTTTTTCCCAAAATGCTGCTCTCGTTGAGGCGCCGGCCTCATTTCTGCTCCCGAATCGTTCCGAATCGTGCTCCCGCTGCAGCGTGGGCCTCATTTTCGGATCGGTGTTTGGCCTCCGTCGTTCAGGATGGCGTTCTCGCCCCAGCGCGGGCCTTTTTCTCGCGCGCCCATCCGCCCGCCACCACCGCGCCGCACCGCCACCACCACCACCACCACCACCACCACCACCACCACCACCACCACCACCACCACCACCACCACCACCACCACCACACCACCACAACCAGCACCAGCACCAGTACCAACACCACCACCACCAGCACCACCACCACCACCAGCACCACCACCACCACCATCACCACCACCACCACCACCACCACCACCACCACCACCACCACCACCCCACCCACCACCACCACCCACCACCACCACCACCACCACCACCACCACCACCACCACCACCACCACCACCACCACCACCACCACCACCACCACCACCACCACGACAACCACGCACACACGCACGCACGCACGCACGTGCACCACCACCCACTACGCACGCGCGCGCGGAGCCACAGGTCCGCTACGACACGCGTCCGCGGATAGAGAAAATCAGCGCCATGGTAAGTGATGGGAGGGAGGGGTAGGACGTCAGATATGACGCGAGCGCACCTAGCTTGCCTCATCCCCCTCCCCCTCCTCCACCTCCTCCTCATCATCCTCGGGTCGCCTACGGCCCCGGGGGAAACCGTGCAGTTCAGGACGCATCCTGGGTGTAGCAGGCTCGTGTCGTGTCGACGAGGCAGGCGGCTGCCCCGGGCGTTCAAGGTTGAGCGCTAGCAGTGCCCCTAAATCGGCCGTTATCGACGGGTCGGCGCTATCGGAAAGTCGCGACCGCTGAAGAAGGAGCGATCCGCGTGGTGTCAGCAGAGACCAACGCAACACTCGTCAGACACGAAGCTGCCCTGACTCAGTCGGATCCGCGAGCGGCCAGGCGCAGGTCAGGGGCGCCGACGAGGGGAGTGGCCCAGGGGGGGAGCGTCAACCCCCCACGCCGACGCCCATTCATGGTCAATCGGGGCCTGGCCCCACCCCGCCCAGGAGCGTGTGGTCTGGCAATCGAGGTCCTGACGCCGGCCCATCGGCGAAGTGTTCCCCCCTTGCCTTCCCAGACCCCCGACGTCATGATTTTTTCAGGACGTCGACCCCCAGAGGTCTCGACCCCTTCCCTGGGACCGGCTTCTCATCCTGAGTCGTTTTTTGACGGTCCCGAGGCCCGGCAAGGGCCCCCAGAGGCCGAAAATGACGAGAAACCTCCCGTCGTGATTTTTTCACGACTCGAGGGGGTCTGGGTTTCTCCCCGCAGCAGGAGGTCGTCGGCGACCTCGAGGCGCTGCGGCGGGGCCTCGGGGAGGGGCCGGCGCCCCCGAGCCCACCGCGGGCCTCGGCCCTGGCGTGCGCCCCGGCGGCCAGGGCCGCGCTGCGGGACGCAGGCGCGCACCGGGGGCTCCTCCTCCTCCTCCTCCTCCTCCTCCTCCTCCTCCTCCTCCTCCCTCCTCCTCCTCCTCCTCCTCTCCTCCTCCTCCCTCCTCCCCCCTCCTCCTCCTCCTCCTCCTCTCCTCCTCCTCCTCCTCCCCTCCTCCCTCCTCCTCCTCCTCCTCCTCCTCCTCCTCCTCCTCCTCCTCCTCCTCCTCCTCCTCTCCTCCTCTTCCTCCTCCTCCTCCTCCTCCTCCTGATCAGCGACGAGCGGGGTCACGAACATGTTGGCGTGGAGTCCCCTTCCCATCAGCTGGGAGCCGACATTTCTGTGAGCATGATGGCTTGGAGTCCCCTTTTACCTGTGGGGTGCGGCGGCAGGCCGGCGGGAGCCAGCGGAAATTAGAAACGCCGCCAAGAGATGCCATGTTGTTTGGATTCAGGGCTTCCAGAGTGAGCACGTTAAGGACCCCCGAATCAATCTGGGAAGACCATGTGGCCTGGACTGACCCCAGGAGGGGTCTGGGGACTGATTTGCATCCATATCCATGCCTTCGCGGTCAAGGTACCGAGGCTCGATCCTGTGGACACGCGATCCCACGGATGCGTTCCGCGCGGGGCGTTCGCGCAGAGACGCCCTGCATCCTTGGGGTCGCGGCCTGGGAATCCGGACTGCGAGGCCGTGGACAATCGTCTGCTGCCCGAGTGATTCGGGGCGAGCGGGCCGTTTTGGGACTCGGGTCGCTCTCAGAGGATCTCCTGAGCGCCTGGGCCTCCGACTGTTGCGAGAGACCGCCAGGTGGCCATTGGGATTTCGAGGTCATCGAGCCATCTGTCACCAGACAGTCTTGGGATTCTAATTCAGGGGAGGTGGTGCGCGAACCAGCCAATCTTACTCTCGAGTACAATTCAGCAAAACATTTCGGACGCCCGCCCTCATATTTTTGGTCGGCGCTGGACCCCTCCTCCCGGACGACCCCCGGTGGCGATTCTGGCCCCGCCTCTGGCGTGTTCCGCGCACCAGGGATGGCGTTCGGGGAAAAGAAATCCGCGCGGACCTGCGACAGTTTGTGCATGTATATGTATGCGTGGATGCGTACGTGTGTACATATGTATACATTTACGGTAGATGTGTGGGCGTCAGGGGGGTAGCGTGTCACATCGGCCGCATTCGCTTGCATGGCAGCTGTTCTGGCTGGTTCCGCGCCCTCCAGGGAGGGCATGGACGCCCCCGGGACCACCGTGCCGCGCCCTTCGCCCGTGCGATACTGCGGGTGGTGCGCGGGACCCGTCGGGCGAGGGGAGTCGCTGGCCCTGGCCGAGGGCGGGTCCCTCCTGGAGGTCTGCGAGCTGTGCTACATCATCGGTCTGATTCGGCAGGCGGCGTGGCGCGCCCGCCTCAGCGTGGAGGAGAGGGCGGCGCTGCTCGACTCCGCCCGGCTCCTGGGCGCGCTGCTCTCCGCGCTCGCCGGCCTGGGGCTCGATGGCGCCGAAGGCGAAGGCCGTCGCCAAGGGCAAGGCCAAGGCTAAGGCTAAGGCGAAGGCCTTGGGCCGAGGACGCGCCCGCGGCCGAGGGCGCGGCGCCGGCGGCCTCGGGCGAGGAGCCGCGGGGAGAGGCGGAGGTGCCGCCGCCTTCCCGCCTGTTGCCCCGGGCCTGGCGGCGGCCGCGGCGGTCGGCGGCGCCGCGGCGGCCGCGCCCGCGGGCGGCGGTGCCGGCGCGCCCGCGGTGCCTGGCCTGGCGGCGCTGCCCGGCCTGCCGGGCTTCGGAGGCGGCGGGGCTGCTGGGGCGCCCCCGGCGGGCGGCGCCGTGCCTGACGGCGGAGGTGCTCCCCCCGGCGGCGTGGGCGCCGCGCTGGTGGGCGCGCTCGCGGGCGGCGGCGGCGGCCCTCCTGGAGGCCCTCCTCCTGGTGCGGTGCCGGGGGCCCCGGCGATCCCTGGTGTGCCGATCGCGGTTGCTGGCGGTCCGATCGCCCCAGCGGGCGGCGCGCAGCTGGGACCACTCGTGGACGGTCCGTGGCGTCAGGCCGTGACTCTGATTGGCGCCGACTGGCGCCGAGGGGTGAATCTCGAGCTCCCGACCTTCGACGCAGCTGGAGGCATCAGCGGGACGGCCCTCTTCGAGGTAGAGGAGATCGGCACCACGGGCCCCTCTGGGCAGTACCTGAGCGCCCAGTTCAGGGGGGCGTCGCTGGCGGCCGAGGCGATGCGGCTGGACGGCCTGTTCCCACCGCGCGGCACCGGGCCTGCGGGCCCCCTGCACTTGTGCGGGCAGGGACCGGCGCTGTGCGGGGAGCCCGCTGTGCCAGGCCGAGGAGTCCTGCATGTCGAGTGGCTGCGGCTGCGCTCGAACCGCGGGTTCGTGGAGCCGTGGGTGCGGCCGAGCGCCTTCGGTGGGCGCGGCGGCGGCGGTGCCTTGGCGGGAGGCGCCCCAGCCGGGGGCGCGGCCCCCGACCGCCTGGCGGCAGCTGCCGCGGCGCGCGCGCAGGCTGCTGCGGCGACGCCTGGCCGCGCTGGTGGCGGTCGCGGCCGCCGCCGCCCCCGGAGCTCCTCGGCCTCGCGGAGCGACGACGACGGTGAGTCGCGTTTTCGCGAGGCCCCCTCCCGCGGCGGCAGCGTACGGCTGCTGGCGGAGAAGCGCCCAGGTGCCCTGTACGACGAGGCGATGAAGAACATCGGGCGCGTCATGGGCCTGCGGGAGGGGGCGGACGGCTCAGAGGTTCGAGCGAAGGTCGTGGGCTACCTGCAGGCCGTGGTGTTCGGCCATCACCCTCCAGGGCAGATGCGGATCAACACTCAGCGGGAGCTGCAGACGCTGGCGACGGCGCTGGACCTGCTGGAGAGTGGGTGCCTGGCGGAGTTGAGCGACGTGTTGATGCAGCGCTTCAAGGCTCTGGAGCTGTCGCTGTCCGACGCGAGCTGGCAGGTGGCGAGCGAGCTGGAGATCGTGCCGGACGCGCGGCCCTCGCTGGCCTTGATGGGCGAGCAGGACCTGGCGCGGCGGGCGGCACTGCTGCGCAGGAAGCTGATGGACGCGAAGAGCCGCGGCGGCCTCGGCGGCAAGGGTCAGGGCGAGCGCCGAGCCTGACCCGAGGAGGCGAGGCGCGGGAGCGGCGGAGCCCACTCGCCCCCGCCGAGCCGCCAGCAGGGCCGCGGTCGCGGGAAGAGCCGCGGGCGCGGCCGAGGCCGCTTCTTCCCCCTGCGGGCGGGGGGCCCAACACGGCCTTGGGCAGGGCCCGCAGCCGCAGCCCCGCCCGCGGGTCCGCCAGGCGCAGCGCGCTCCGGCAGCGCGGGCAGGTCGCCGTCTCCGGGGGCGCCGAGGACGCCTCGAGGCGACAGCCCGCGCCCGAGGGCGGCGGACGGGCCGAGGCGTGTCTCGCTGGCGACGAGCCCGGAGCGCCACGTCTTCAGGCAGGACCAGCCCGCGGCTGCGGCGGCAGCGGGCCTGCAGCAAGGTCCGCCGCGAGGCCCGGCCCCCCCGAGCGGCCGCCGCCGTGGCGGCAGGAAGCACCGGGGTCGAGGCCGAGGCGGCCTTCCTGCGACGCTGAGGTGAGGCAGCGAGCTGATGGTGCCAGCGCTGATGATGCGCGTGCGAGTGCGACCGAGTTTGCCGAGGTTGCCCGCTCGCACAGACCGCCCTGGACTTCACCGTCGCGCTCGCCGCCTCCGAGATTGGCTCCTGACCGTGGTGGTGCTGCCGCCTCTCGCCGCCCAGCGTCCTCGTCGTGCCCGCCGGCCTGTGGTACGGATGCCGACTGTGACGGTGATCCGCTGGCAGAGTGGCGCGAGTGGGCTGGCGCGGCGAGTGATCTTCTGCGAGAACCTTTCGACGTGGTCCCCGTGTTGTTGAACATAGTCCGCCAGTTCCCAGGCTCCTTCGGTCGCTTCACTAGATATTCCCTCGAGGTAAAGCCACGCGAGCATCCGGCCGACATGGGAGGTCGGCTTCAGCGAGATCTGTTGCCGTTACCATACCCTTCGATCACCAGGTCCCAGATCGTCCAGCAGGGCGAGGACCCTTTGAGCGACAAGGAGTGGGAAGGACTACGCTGCAGGCTGGTGGTCACTGTCCTGGCGCTAAACTGGGAGTCTGGGTTCCGCTCCCTGAAGCTGGCCAGGCCCTGCCGAGGTCGAGCCAACGCCGCGCAGCAGGCAGCCCTGGTCGCTCTCGGCCGCCGCCTCCTCTTGGCTGCGCGGGCCGAGTCTGCTTTACCGCCAGATCTTGACAAGAACGTGCGGCTGAAGGACCGCAAGATCGGCTACGGCGGGGGCGAGATCTCGGCCCCGCATCGGCTGACGCTGGAGCAGGTGCTGGACGGGCTGCCGCTGCCAGGCGTCGCGGCCTCCATCGAGGCGGCCGACCTCGCGACGGGGTTCGTGCGTGAGGCCCTCCTGGGCCCGACGCTGGTGCTGCTGCCCGCTGCCCTGCGGCGGCCCGCGCCGACATCTGCGCGCGTGTGGGCCTCGCTCGAGGAGTGGCATCGGATCGTGCGGGCGCTCCACGAGCGCGGGATGGTGTCGGCGATCCCGAGCAGCGAGATTGCCTGTCGCGACGGAGCCCCGCTCCTGAACGGGGCGTTCGGGGCGCCCAAGCCCCGCGACGAGCCCGTGGTCTGCAGCGACGGCGAGCGCAGGCCGGTCCTGAGGCTGATCACCAACCTCATCCCCTCGAACGCGTGCCAGGAGTGCATCGTGGGAGACACCCCTGAGATGCCGACCATGAGCCAGCTGAGCGGCCTGGTGCTGACCGAGTCGGAGGATCTCCTGTGGAGCGGCGCGGACAGAAAGGCCTTCTTCTACGTCTTCCGCGCGCCGCCTGCGCGGTGGCCTTACATGGTGATAGGGCCGCCCGTCCCCTCGGAGTTGCTGGGCCTGAAGGGCGGTGGGGCCACGCACATCTGCCTGCGGGTGATCGGCATGGGCTGGATCAGTGCCGTGGGCGTGACGACCCACCTCCACCGGAACATGCTGCGGCGGAGCGCCTCTGCCCCTCGCGGCCTGCCGCCCAGCCAGGAGATCACTCGGCGCCGACGGCTGCCGTTCAGCGTGGAGAAGCCGTGCCCTCCGGCGTGGATGGTCTACATTGACAACCTGGAGGTCGCGGAGGTCGTGAGCAAGTCCGAGGCCGCGACGCTGCGGGGGACGGTGCCCGAGCTCATCCCCGAGGCTCGCGCCTGCTATGCGGCTGCGGGCTCCCCGGGGTCGCCGTCCAAGGACATCCATCGAGTGCCGCGAGCGACGACCTTGGGGGAGCTCATCGACGGGGTCGAGGGCGTTCGGCGGCCCCCTGCGGGCTACCTCACCGAGATGGCCAGCCTCACGCTGTGGACGCTGAGCAAGAAGCGGGCCAGCATGCGGCTGGTGCGCATTCTGCTGGGCCGCTGGGTTCGTGTTCGCTGCTTTCGGCGGCCGCTGGCGGCCAGCTTTGCCTACGCCTGGAAGTGGCTCGCGAACCCGCGCACTGGCGGCCGCTTCAGCGTGAGCGTGGTCGAGGACCTCTTGATGTGCCTTGCGCTGTCAGGGCTTTGCGTCGCTGACCTGCGCCTCGAGGTCGACCCCCTGGTGCCCGCGTCGGATGCCTCGGAGGCCGCTGGCGCCGTGGTCTACGGCTACGCCCTCTCCGACCGCGGGCGCGCGCTGGCCGAGAGGCGGCAGCGGCCCGCGAACGCCGCCTGCGAGGAGGAGACCGCCCTCGTGACTGTCTTCGACGGCATCGGCGGCGGGCGCCGGGCTTTCGAGATCCTCGGACTGGTCCCTTCCGTGCACCTGTCATTCGAGGTTGACCCCACGGCGGTGCGGGTGGCCCGGCGCAGCTACCTCAGCACGCAGCACCTGGGGGACGTGACGGAGGCGGACCTGGTGGCCCTGGCAGCCCTGCTGCGCGCCCGAGGCCGGGTGTCGCGTGTGCTGGTGGTGGGCGGCTTCCCGCGCCAGGTCTTCGCGGGTCTCAACGTCGCTCGGCAGGGTCTCGACGACCCGCGCGCGGGCCTGGTTGACCACATGGTGCGGATCGTGGACGGGCTGCGGACGGCCATGCCGGAGGCGTCGATCGACTTCCTCGGGGAGAACGTCGCGTCGATGCCCGAGTGCGACGTGCTGCGCCTGAACCAGCTCTTCGGCCGCATCCCGCTGGAGATTGAGGCGGGGGATGTCGGCTGGGTCAGACGTCCGCGGCTCTACTCGGCTTCGTGGGACCTCCTGCCGTCCTTCGAGGCTGAGCCCGTCGTGGTGCGGGCCAAGACCCAAGACGTTCGGCGCGCCTGCAAGGTGGCGCTGAAGGCGGAGCGGCCGCCGCTCGAGGAGTGGCTCCCGCCCGGGGCTGTGTGTCCGGGTCCCGCTGCAGGGGGGCCGCTCCCGACCTTCGTGCGCTGGGCGCCGCGCTCGCAGCCGCGCCCCAGGCCTGCGGGCATCGGGGAGTGCAGCGCTGCTGAGCTGGCGCGCTGGGAGGCGGCGGGCTTCGCTTCGCCGCCCTACCAGTTCCGTGACAAGTGGTGCATCCACCAGGCGGATGGCCGCGTGGAGCCGCCTGACGCGACCATACGAGAGAAGCTGATGGGCTTCCTGGAGGGCCACACTGTGCCGTGCATGACGAGCAGCCAGGCGAAGGCCGAGCCCGCCAAGTACGAGGCTCTTCGGCGGTCGCTCGTGGGCAACTCCTTCCAGTGCGAGGTCGTGGCCTGGATCATCAGCCACTGGGCCGTCGGAGCTGGGCTGCTGGTCTCGGTGCCCTCGCTGGGTGAGCTGCACGAGAGTGCGCGAGCCTGGGCTGGTGGCAGGAAGCTGTGGGCCGGCGACGTGACGTCGCTGCGGTGCGGTCGCTCCGAGATCGACGAGGGCCTGCACGCCAAGCTGGACCAGGCTGGCGGGCCCATCTACGTGGGTCGTGGGTCTCGCCGCTGGGGGCTGGCTGCCTCGCGGTGGGGCAACCCTTTCACGATCAGCCCCGAGCGGTCACGCGAGGACGCTGTTGCCCTGCTCGCTGGTTGGATCCGCACGCAGCCCACCCTCCTGCAGAGCTTGGAGACGCTGCGCGGGGCCCTACTGGTCTGTCACTGTGGGCCCGACCAGGCGTGCCATGCCGACATCCTCTTGGCGGAGTTGGCGAAGCGTGACGTGGTGGAGTGGCGCGAGCTGGACGCGTCCAGACGCATCGTCATGGGGCTCGTCATGGCGTGCCACAACAACGGAGCATACATCAGGACCGATGGCGCCTCGGAGGCGCTCGGCAAGATCTTCCCGCGGCAGGAGATCGACTCAGGCATTTGGCGGTGGCGCAAGGCAAGGCAGCTAGTGTGGGATGCAGCAGAGCACATCAACGTTCTTGAGTGCCAGGGCGCGCTGATGATGATTCGATGGCGGGCGCGGTCGGCGCGCCGCCATCAGTGCGTCTTCCTGCACCTGCTCCACAGCATGGTCAACATCGGTGCGCTGTCCAAGCGCCGTTCCAGCAGTCATCAGCTCAACAAGGTGGTGCGGACCTTCTCGGCGTGGGAGGTTGCGATGGGCGCGCGGGCGGTCTTCGGCTTCGCGTCGTCGGCTCGCAACCCCGCGGACGCCCCCTCGCGTCTCCGCGATGGGTAAGAAGCGGAGTAGCCCTGCTGACCGCCGCGCCGCCAGAGCTGGACTGGGGAAGCTGAGAGACGCCAGGAAAAAAAGGCCTCGACACTGGCCCGCTACCGTGGCGCCGCTCAGCGTTTTGTTGACTACCTTGCTGCCAATAACCTGCCGCTGCCTTTCACCTGGGACGATATTGATATCTGCCTGCAAGATTATCTCGAGCACTTGTGGGCCGAGGGCGCCACAAAAGGAGAAGCCAATGACACCCTCAGCGGCGTGCAGCACCTGCTGAGGACACGACGCCGCTATCCTGGCGCTTGGCAGCTGCTGACAGTCTGGGGCAGACTGGAGATCCCTCAGCGCGCGCCGCCGATGCCTGCCCAGGTCTGCACGGCGCTCGCCGGTTGGGCGCTCAGCCGCGGGGAGGTGGCCTTCGCGGCCGTGCTGCTCGTGGCCTTCCATCTCTGTCTCCGCACTGGCGAGGCGTTGGGGCTGAGCGGCGGCGTCATCTTTCTTGAGCCCTGTGGCCGAGGCGCGGTGTCATTGCCCTGGACCAAGACCTCTTGCCAGAAGGGCGCGCGGGAGCAAGTCGCGCTTGACGACCCGCTGGTTGGGGCAGTCGTCCATATGCAGCTCCAGCGTGACAGCCGGCTCTGGCCTGGCACGACGCGCGCCTTTGACGACTTGTTCCGTACTGGGCTCCAGCAGATCGGTTGCGAGCACCTCGCCCTGTCTCCTTACAGCCTGAGGCGCGGAGGTGCCACGCATGAGTTCCTGCTGTCGGGCGACTTGTCTAAGGTCATGCTGCGTGGGCGCTGGAGCTCGGCAAGAACGGCAAAGATATACATCCAAGACGGGGCTGCCATCATCGCAGAGATGAAGCACCAGGATCGTACCCGTTCGACGCTCCAGCAGTTCTCTAATACATTTTTCGCTCGAGTCCGAGCGTTTTGCAGCCCGTGACCTGCTGCAACAATTTTTGATGTCTGGCGCGAGCTGCTGCCCGCGCTGCCGTCGCCAGGCTTGACATATATTCGGCCTACGGCCACAGGAAAAACACAGAATGGAGAGCTTCGGTGTCTTTTTTTCGATAGTTGGCGAGCTTCTTGGGCACGGTCCTGCTGGGCTCTCAGGGGGTTTTCTTTGCTGGGCCCCCCCAAGGCCGTCGAGCCTCCCCTGGCCCCCGAGGCCGCGGAGCGTTCTGGCCCCAGTCTCCCGTGATGGTGGCCGACCCCAGTCTGCGGATGGTGGTCTGCGAATCCAGCTCTGGCCTCGGGGTGCGGTCTGTGCTCTGGCGTGGGGGGTCGGTCCGTGCAAAAGAGAGTAGACCTTTCGAGCTCCGCGCAGAGGCCTTTGTAAATATAAATATTGGTGCCCATGGGAGTTTAAGCTCTGTCAACAGGTTTGGCCGATTGAAGAGGGAAAGACATTTCTCCTTCATTCGATGAGCTATCGCTCACCCCCCGCCTGCCCCACACATGTATACGTTTACGGTAGATGTGTGGGCGTCAGGGGGGTAGCGTGTCACATCGGCTGCATTCGCTTGCATGGCAGCTGTTCTGGCCCACCCACATACCGCCCTAAGTGGCGAATGCATCATTGAGTCTCGCGAGAGCTCGAGCTTCTTGGGCACGGTCCTGCTGGGCTCTCAGGGGGTTCTCTTTGCTGGGCCCCCCCAAGGCCGTCGAGCCTCCCCTGGCCCCCGAGGCCGTGGAGCGTTCTGGCCCCAGTCTCCCGTGATGGTGGCCGACCCCAGTCTGCGGATGGTGGTCTGCGAATCCAGCTCTGGCCTCGGGGTGCGGTCTGTGCTCTGGCGTGGGGGGTCGGTCCGTGCAAAAGAGAGTAGACCTTTCGAGCTCCGCGCAGAGGCCTTTGTAAATATAAATATTGGTGCCCATGGGAGTTTAAGCTCTGTCAGCAGCTTTGGCCGATTGAAGAGGGAAAAACATGTCTCCTTAATTCGATGAGCTATCGCTCACCCCCCCGCCTGCCCCACACATACATATATGTAGGTATATGCAAATGTACATGTACATGAACATATACATGGACATGCAGCTGTACATGTAGATGCATATGCATATGCACATTCCATGTACATACGCACATATGTGTGTACACACGTATGTATGTATGTATGTATGTATGTATGTATGTATGTATGTATGTATGTATGTATGTATGTATGTATGTATGTATGTATGTATGTGTGAATGTATATATATATGTGTATACATGTGCTTATGTATGTATGTATGTATGTATGTATGTATGTATGTACGTGTGTGTATGTATGTATTCCTGTGTGTCTGTCTGTTTGTATGGCTGTCTGTCTGTCTGTATGAATGTATGTATGCATGCATGTATCTATGTTTGTATGTATGTATGCATGTGTGTATATATGTATGTATGTATGTGTATGCATGAATGCATGCATGTATGTATGTATGTATGTATCTATGTATGTATGTATGCATGTTTGTATGTATGTATGTATGTATATAATATATATAATATATATATATATATAATATATTGCGAAGGCCTGACGGCCGGTGCCGCCGACCCTGTTCGCAATGCGCAGCAAGAGGCACGGGCTGTGGGATGGTTTGGGGGAACGGGGAGAAGGACGAAAAGGTGGGGGAGGGAGGTGTCGTATCTGACCCGGGACTTCCCCGGGACTCCCCCGGGACCCCCCCCGGGACCTCCTCTCCCCCCCCCGTCGGGGAAGGGAAAGGGAAGGGGCTTCCCTTCGACTCAATGACGACGTTGCTCAAGGTCGGTACGGGGGGGGGGCGTCGTATCTGACTCGGGGGGGGTCGCTACCCCCCCCCTGGGGGAGGAATGAAAGGGAAGGGGCTTCCCTTCGACTCAATTACGAGGTTGCTCAAGGTCGGCTTGGCTGGAGCCCAGGGGAAGAGGAGTCCCAGGGGGGGGCGTCGTATCTGACCCGGGGGGGGGGTCGCTACCCCCCCCCCCTCCCGGCGGGGGAGGGATCAAAGGGAAGGGGCTTCCCTTCGACTCAATTACGAGGTTGCTCAAGGTCGGCTTGGCTGGAGCCCAGGGGAAGAGGAGTCCCAGGGGGGGGCGTCGTATCTGACCCGGGGGGGGGGTCGCTACCCCCCCCCCCCTCCCGGCGGGGGAGGGATCAAAGGGAAGGGGCTTCCCTTCGACTCAATTACGAGGTTGCTCAAGGTCGGCTTGGCTGGAGCCCAGGGGAAGAGGAGTCCCAGGGGGGGGCGTCGTATCTGACCCGGGGGGGGGGTCGCCCCCCCCCCCCCCCGGCGGGGGAGGGATCAAAGGGAAGGGGCTTCCCTTCGACTCAATTACGAGGTTGCTCAAGGTCGGCTTGGCTGGAGCCCAGGGGAAGAGGAGTCCCAGGGGGGGGCGTCGTATCTGACCCGGGGGGGGGTCGCTACCCCCCCCCCCTCCCGGCGGGGGAGGGATCAAAGGGAAGGGGCTTCCCTTCGACTCAATTACGAGGTTGCTCAAGGTCGGCTTGGCTGGAGCCCAGGGGAAGAGGTCTCCCAGGGAAAGGGAAGGACAGAGACGACGAGTACAAAGAATGACGGAGATGACGGCTCGAACGGAAAAGCCCCTCACACACGCCGACAGGGTATGTATGTATGTATGTATATATATATATATATATATATATATATATATGTGTGTGTGTATGTAGGCCCCTGCGCCCCCCTCCCTGCGCCCCCGCTTCTGCCGTTCTCGCCGGTCTGGTTCTGCAACCACTTGCTAACCTTACCCCTGCGGGTCTGATCGGCCCCGGGGTACCCGACAATCCTGTTGGGGCCCATCTGGCTGCAGATACCCTTCAAGTTCTGAGCACCCGCCAGTGTTTTAATAATCTGTCCTGCAGGGGGCAGGGGCGCGAGGTTGCCTGCTGGTGTTGGCGGCGCGCAAAGGGGCGGGGCCAGTAGAGGGATCCCGCTCCCCTGAGCAGGCTTTTGAGAAGGACCCCTGGAAGGCAAGCGGCCTTCTGAGAGGCGGGGTGCCTTCTGAGGGAGAAGGCCGCCCCCCTCGCCCTCGTCCCGACTTGGCTTTCCGAGCCGCGTTCAGCCGCGGCGACGAGAGACTTCAGAGTCGTTCCATGCTGCCCAGAAGCGGGACCAGAGCAGATGGGGTCGGAGGATCGCCCCGCATCGCCTATGTATCGATGAATGGGGGACCACATGCGAACCCTACCCCTACCCCCACGATTTCTGAGGCGGAGGGTGGGGTTCACTTCGCTCGGGAGCTCCCGAACGAAATGAATCCCACCCTCTCCCTCAGAAATCGTGGGGAGCAGGGGTATGGTTCGCATGTGGTCCCCTAATTCTAGGCCTCCTACATGGGGTCGGAGTAGATGGGGTCGGAGGATCACGCCGCATCGCCGATGCATCGGCGATGCATCAACGATACGGCTTGATGTTGGGTACATTTTTCTCCACGCCGACGTCGCCGATGCATCGCCGACGTCGCCAGTGCATGGCCGGTGCATCACCGATGCATGGGCGATGCATCGCCGATGTATCGGCGATGTGGCGAGATCTTCCGACCCCATCTACTCGGACCCCATCTAGGAGGCCTCGACGATTGATGTCGGTGCCATCCGGATCCCGAGTTTCTCTGTACCGACTTCGTCGATATTCGCCAATGCATCGGCGACGTGGTGCGAGCCACCGACCCCGTCTGCTCCAGCCCCATTCGGGCGGGCTCCACACTGGTGAGGGGGGGCCCGTGTATCCTATCATACGCATCCGTGAAGTCTGGCTGCACGCGCTCGTTTTCGCCCAGCCTGCTATGTTCCCCCCGTCGTACCCTACAGAGGCTGGCAGACTCCGTAGACGCGCTAACAGCTGTTAGCTAACGGCGAAGTAGGAAAACCAACTGTAGGAAGGCGTGGTTCGTGGCCAAACCAATTGTAGGAACGCGTGGTTTGTGTTTTCCTGCAATTCCCTGCGTCCTTCTCGCTCGATACATTCGCACATCTGAAATGTTGGAAAGTGTGCTTCGTGCTCTCCTACAATTTGCTCTGCGCGAGCTCGGTGTCCCACAGACCCTATTCCCAACATCTCCGTTTGCCGACATCGCCGTTAGCGCGGCCCTGGAGAGGCTGGCAGACTGCAGACGGCACTGCCGACGCACCGCAGCGATGGTGCGGAGGGGCCCTCCGCCCCCCGCGAGGCCGAGCGCTCCGCTCGGAGCTCGCGCTGCGGCGCTCGCTGCTGGACGCCCTCGCGGAGCTGGAGCGGTCGTCCAGCGAGGACTGGGCGCCGCAGACGCGCTAATGGCGATGCGGGCAACGGCGACGCAGGCCTCGGTATTGTGGGGACGCGCGGCTCGCGCTTTCTGACAATCCGCTGCGTCGTCTTCGTTCGATGCATCCGCAGATCGGGAATGCAGGAAAGTGTGGTTCGTTCGCTCGTCGGCCCCGCGGGGCCGCCCCCCCTGCCCCTGCCGTCTCACGATGGTCATGCTGGTCCTGGGAGCAGGCCCCAAAAAGATTTTAACCTGGGTTTATAACGCTCTTGGATGACTGGCCCCCGTCATAATGTCTTGCCCGGAGCATTATAAACTTGGGTTTCAATGTTCGGGGTTCATAATGTTCCCCCCGGAACTTTATAAACCCTGATAAAAAATGTACTGGGGAGATCGACCCAAAAATTATATTAACCTGGGTTCATAATGTTCCGGGAGGACTGACTGGGGTTTGTAATGTCCCGGGAATAATGGATCCGGTTTTCGTAATTCCGGAATGATAGTAATTATTTTTTCCCCCCAACCCCGGGTTCCCCACCAGGTTTTTCATCTCGCAGCATGGACCCCGGTTTATTATCTCTAGGAAGTAATATTCCCGGAGTCATAACGTTTGCGGCATATTGACCCTTTGGGTTGGATACTGATTGAGCCTGGGGGGGCGCCGTTTGGGAGTACGTTCTGGATTGAAATACACCTTGGTCCATAATGTTGGAATATTAAACTTAGGTAGATGATTCCGGGCAGATAGTGATTCGGCCGGGGGGGGGCTGAGCTCGATCCATTCACAGGAGAATAATCCATAGGGTATCATCTGAAGATACTGAACCTAGGTATTCATTCCTAGATAATTTTCGCACCTACCCTCCCTGGGAGAACGCCAGGATGCCCCCAAGAACCCCTGCCCTCCTCACCCCGCCTCTCCTGGCCGCCCTCGCCCCTCCCCCGTGCAATAGCCAGGGCGTGCGTGCCACTTGGTTCTCGGTGGTCACATGGGTTATCTGGTGGGGGGTGCCGTGGGAGAGGTGGCGGCCGACAACCTAACCTTTTCGCTTTGGTTTCCAACATCACCGTTAAGCAACATCGCCGTTGGCGTGGCCTTGGAGGGGGAGGTCGGGCGGTCGTCCGGCGAGGGCCAGGGGGGGAGAGTTTCTCCGAAGGGCTTAGGCGACCCGTCCTCCTCCTCCTTCTATTCTTCCTCCTCCTCCTCCTCTCCCTCCTCTTCCTCCTCCTCCCTTTCTCCTCCTCTTCCTTCCTCCTCCTCCTCCCCCTCCTCCTCCTTCCTTCTCCACCTCCTCCCTTCTCCTCCATCTCCTCCTCCCCCTCCCCCTCTCCTCCTCCTCTTTCTCCTCCTCCTCCTCTCCTCCTCCTCCTCCTCCTCCTCCTCCTCCTCCTCCTCCTCCTCCTCCTCGGGTCGCCTGCGCCCCCAGGGGAAACCGTGCAGGACCAGGGGGAGATCGGGCGTCGGGAGCTGCATCTCATTACCTATACACCGACCCTGGCAGGGCCCTTTTTCATCCGATCGATCCGATTCGATGTTGGTTCTGGGCGGCCCGCTTCGATTCGATTTCGATTGTCCACCGATCCCATGCGGCCTGGTGTTTTCACGGTGCTGCCTCCTGTGCATCCTGGCGCGGCCGATCCGAGTCGCTTCCGCCTCCGAGCCGATGCAGCTCGATTCGACGCACGTTCCGTTCCAGTCCGATCTCTTGGTTCAATGTTGACTGATCTGGCCCTGGCCATGCCCATCCTTGATCCAGTATCAGTGTGTATTCGAAGGGCAAAAACGGCATAAACATTAGCATTCGGAGGTCCGCGCGGATTTCTCAAGGATGAGGAGGAGGATGTGTGATGATGAGGGGGAGTCTGACGCTGCGGTTGTGCGTGCCCCATTACCTGCATAAGAAACACATTAGCCAGGCGAAGAATCCAGCTCCTTCTAAACGCGCGGCGACTACAGACAGGACCGTTCAATCGAAGGCCACACTCAAAGGTCCCATTCGATCACGCACTGCCAAGACTCGAATCGGAAGCGGGAAGACGACGACGCATGCGCCGCTGAGCACGAGGATCGGAGCAGAGAGAGCAGGAGGAGGGGCAACAGGGTCAGAGAGTTCCTCGGCCGGGGGCATCTGCGGCAGCTCGCACCCCCCCGCCCCTGCGCTGCAGGGCCGGGCGGCAGCTTCTTGGGCCTTCCGGGCCGTCTCGGGGCGATCTTGAGATTCTCATGGGACCACGAGTATCGGGGAAAACAAACCTACCTCGCTTTTGACCACCCTCGCTTCCAAGAGATACCAAACGATGCCAAACTGCGGCCTGTACTGGTCAGGCCGCTTGACGAGGAGGCGCGTGGTATGGCTTGGTTTTGCCTAGAAGCGAAAGCGGGGGAGGTAATCCACGCTCTGAGAGTAGTGTGAGGGGTGTCCCGAAATGGGGCGGGGCCACCATGCGACCGCAGCCACTTGTGAGGGGTGTGCCGAAGTGGGGCGGGGCCGCCGTGCGACCGCTGCCACCGTGGCCTTCGGCGGCGCTCCCTGTGGAGCCAACGGGCGTGCGAAGGGCGTGCCGAACTTTGGCGAGGCCGCCATGTGAACGCAGCCACTGGGTTATGATGTTCCAACCTACTTTAGCCTTGACCACCAGAAATAATTTCGATCACCAAGAATGTACCGAAACTGAAGGTTTTTCACGTGTCGGGCCCTGGGAGGTGACACTTGTTTTGACCCTGCTTCGACACTTCTCCTGGGTGCTCGAACTTCTTCTTGGGGTGTGGTCTTTGAGTGCGATAGGAACAACATTACCACTGGGGTCGTCGTTGGTGTTGTTGTTGCTGTTGTTGTTGGTGTTGCTGCTGTTGTTGATGTGGTTGTTGTTGTGGTTGATGTTGGTGTTGTTTGTTGTTTGTTGTTGTTGTGCTTGTCGTTGTTGGTGTTGGTGTTGGTGTTGTTGTTGTTGCTGTTGTTGTTGTTGGTGTTGTTGTCGTTGCTGTTGTTGTGGTGGTGGTGGTTGTTGTTGTTGCTGTTGTGGTTGTCGTTGGTGTTGTTGTTGTTGATGTGGCTGTTGTTGTTGTCGTCGTTGTTGTTGTTGTTGTCGTTGTCGTTGTCGTTGTCGTTGTCGTTGTTGCTGTTGTTGATGTGATTGTTGTTGTTGTTGTTGTTGTTGTTGTTGTTGTTGCTGTTGTTGTTGTTGTTGTTGTGGTTGTTGTTGTTGTTGCTGCTGTTGCTGTTGTTGTTGTTGCTGCTGTTGCTGTTGCTGTTGTTGCTGTTGTTGCTGTTGTTGTTGTTTTCTCACATTCCCTCCTGGCAACGCCCACGCCACGCTGCGTGCCGCTCCGCGCCTCCAGAGCGTCCTCCACACCACCCGCCACGCCGGAGGAGGCCCCGCGGCCGCGCACGGCCCCGGCGGCGCGCGGCCGAGGGCGACGAGGGGCGAGCGCGGCGCGGCCGCCCCCCCGCCCACGGCGAGGGGCAGACCGCCGCCCCTGCGGGCGGCGAGGCCGCCGAGCGCCCAGAGGGCGCGGGGCCCGCCGCCGAGCTGCTCCCCTGGGCAGAACAAGCGGAAGCCTCCATCTGTAGATATGTCGGGCGTGTCCCCCTACAGGGGGGAGGTTCGGCGAACAGTAAAAAATACCATAAAAATACACTAAAAAGGCCAACAAATATTCCAAAAATAGTCCCCAGACTATTTTTGGACAATTGTTTGATTCTTTTTGGGGTATTTTTTGTTTTTCGTCGAAAGTCCCCCTGTAGGGGGACAGGCCCGACTTCAATCGATAGGCGGGGGTCTCGGCTCCTCCGGCAGAGGCCGGAGGCGTCGGGGAGGAGAAACACGTGGAGAGCGCCTCGCCCAGGGGGGGGTGCGGAGCTCGCGCCCGAAGGGCTGGGGTTGGTGCGGGCACTGACCCCGCAGGCGTGCTCGACGCAGTGGCGCTGGCCGGCCGCCAGCCCACGGGCTCCAGCACGCGCCGGAGCTCGGCGCTGAGCGGCGGCTCGCCTGGCGGCGGAGGCCGTCCGCCGTGCCGTGTAGGCCTGCTCGAAGCCCGAGGCCGCAGCACCGCCAGCCGCAGGCGCCGCACCCACGGGCGCCGCCGCTGGCTCCGCCGCCGCCGCCGCCGCCGCCGCGTCCGCGTCACCCGCCGCGGGCGCCGACGGCGCCGCCCCAGGCTCCACGCCCACGACCCGCCGCTGCAGCGAGGGGCGCGGCGCCAGCTCGTCAGCCCACTCGTCGGACTCGAAGCCCGACTCCGTGGGCTCGTCAACCTCGCCGCCGATCTCGGCGGCGTGCTGCCGGGCGGCCCGCGCAGCCGCGCGCCGCGCCGCCAGGCGCTGGCGGCGGCGGCGCCGCCTCTCCAGCTTCGCCTCCGAGACTACGCGCGTCGGCGTTTCCTCCTGCATCCATCAGGAGGAGAAGACACACACAGACACAATTAATCGTCGAGTCCCAGGAAAATATGGGAAAATATGGCAAGTGGGGGGGAAGACGAAAACCCAGACAATATAGGAAAATACGTCGAATCTTGTTATTTGTGTGTATCTATTCGTGTGTCTTGGGGCCCCTTCAATCCCAGCGGGCGCCATCGCACCAGCAGCGGCGGGCGCAGCCAGCGGTGCCGCAGCCGCGCGGGCGGCGGCACCGATCGCCGACCGCGCCACCGCTGCAGCGGTGCGGCGCGGCGCCCTGGGCGAGGGCAGCGGCGCGGACTGCCGCCTCGACGAGGCGGGCGGCGCCGAGATGGGCCCAAGACGGCCAAGAGGCCCCAAGAGGGCCCCAAGACAACCCAAGAAGTCCCAAACTGGCCCCAAAACGGCCCCCAGAGAATTTTCCAAAACGGCCAAGGAGGCCCCCCCGAGACGGGTCCGAAACGACTCCCCAACGGCCACTAAGACCGCACCAACAGAGTGTGTCGAAGAGGCTCCAACATGGCCCGAAGACGGCTGGAGGTGGCCTGGAAACTCTTCAATAATGCTCCCGAGACGCCGAAGTCATCTAGTGTGTTGCCCCGCTGATGCGACCTGGAGGGTTTTTTTCGGCCTTCGTCGCACCGTGGTTTGGCCCTAACTGCGTGGTCAGGATGAGCGGGGGTGGGGGGTGACCTGCGATGCAACGTGGTTTGGCCCAGGTGGCGTGTGCTACGGAGCCAGACTCGGGCACCCCTCTTCTGCGTTCAGTGTCTCCTCTGGTCCTCGTGCGGATCCAGAGAAGCGCAGGAAGCGTTGAAGAAACCCCCAAGACTCCCCTACACGTCGCCAGGATCCTCAAACTTAGATGCCGTAGGTCTGAACCCCCCGAAGGAATTCCAGAATCGCCCTTGCATTCCTCTTCGGCAGCTTGCGAGGCGAGATGCTTGGGCGCGGCTAAACCTATACGCGCGCGAGCGCGAAGCGCGTGCGGGGTTCTAGTTCCATATCTGAATCCAAGCCATGTGTGTGTGTGTCCAGCTTCCTGGTAGGAGTAGGGCCAGAGTAAATTCAGCATGTGTCAATGATGCTGCAATGCACCCTGATGTCCCACATCCCCTCCTCGTACGTCCCTGCAGGCATCCTTTCCGCTACGGGAAAGCCCCCCTTTGAAGACGAGCGGCGCAGTGCAGCGGGATGCCATTCAGGCGAGAGCCTGGTTTAGAACAGAAGCTGAGCCCCGTAGATCGAAGAAAGGCGCAAGGTGTGATGTTAAAGAGAGTGTCCGCGAGAGCCGCTTTTTGAAAAGGAGCCGCCCTCGTCCCTGTCAGTCCTGCGCAGCTTACACATCGTTTTTCGAGCACGCCTCAAGCGATATACACATGTTGAACATGGTACGCCCTCCTCACTTGAGACTTGTTATGTGTTCCCACAAGACGTAAGTGCTGGGCCCGTGTCGAGAATACGCAGTCCTTCAGCCATGTAGTTGCTGGAAGCTTTTACAAGACAGATGTATCCTTGTAGCTTTTGGGCACGTCAAAAGAATGTGAGCGGCGCCAGGGCGAGAGCCACATTATGACCACCAATTGCCATCCATCCTTGTAGTTGTTCGGGACTTGCATAACACATGTGCGCGGCGCTAGAGCGAGGGCCGCATTCTGAAAGTTACCCTCCCTCCACCCCTGTAAATGTTTAGTACTCCAAGCTTCAGGTTCATGAGCGGTGAGAGGGTCTCAGGCTGAACACCCCGCCCGCTCTACCGACTCGTCTGGTGGTGCTGTCAAGAGGAGTTGGGAGGGAGGAGAAAGAGGCGGAGGGTACCTACCAAAAAGCATGCAGGCGCTCCGCTGCGCCCTTTCCATCCCAGGGGCGCCGAAGAGGTGGGATCGGCTCTAGGGGGAAGAGTCGACCCCAAGTCGCCTAGTCCTCGCTGATCTGGGCATGGGGCCCCCTCCGCGCCCTGGGACCTGCTGCTCCGCTGTCGGGGGCCTGCCGCCGATCTACCAGTGATGCACCGCCAGTTCCGGTCCGATGTTCCCCCCTCTCCCCCCCCTCTGGGCCAGTCCACCTTCCTTGGCTGACCGCACAGCGGCGTCCCGCAGAGGACGAGCGGCAGCGGCTGTTCATTGCCTGGACGGAGCGGGCGTACGCACCTCTGGAGGACGGCTGCCGCCTCCTCGCGCTGCGGCGCGGCGCCTCGGCGGCGCTGGAGGGCATCGCGGCAGGGCGCTGAGGACGAGAGTGGCGTGTCCAAGGTGCCCCGCGGCGAACTCCGCCACCTTTCCACGGGCCAGGGAGCCTCCGGAGGGGGGCAGACGGCTGAGGGCCGTGCGGGATGGCGGGGGAGGGGCCCCTGGTAGAGGCCAGGCAGAGGCTCTGCCAGGCCGCACTTGGCCCTCTGACACTCCCACATCTTGCAGGCACAGCGCGGTGGCGGATACGTCGCCGTCCCATCCCCGCTGGGCAGAGCCCGCGGGCTCGCGAAGGGCGCGCAATGTGCGCCCCCTCGGTGATGGACGTGCCGCCGGCCGCCCTGGCGCGCAGGCTTCGTCTGGCTGTCAGGGGCAACGATAGGGGGGGAACAGGCACAGGGGGGATGCATCGACCCCCAATCGCCCATTGAACATCGAGAGGGGTCTGATAGCCCCAGGCCGCCCAGGAAGGTGCGGATTCACCATCGTGGGCCTATCGCCGATCTATCGGCGATGTATCGCCGATTCCAGGTCGATGCATCCCCCCCTATGCCTGCCCCCCCCTATCGTTGCCCCCCAGGTTGGCAGAGTGGGATCGAGCTCGGGCGAGCGGCCAGAGCCGACGCCCCCGGACGGACAAAAAACGCTCTGCAGGATGAGAATGGGTGCGGAAAGAATGGTGACGAATACCGATAGCATTAGTCGGGCACGTCCCTCAACAGGAGGGTCAAAAAATTGTCAGGGGACGATTTTTCTATTATTTTTGGCTATTTGTTCGTACTTTGGGGGTATTTTCAATTTTTCGTCCAAGTTCCGCCTGTAGGGGGACATGCCCGACCTAACGATAGCAGTTCCTGTTCATTTTGGAGAGGACTCGTTGTTGTCGGTGTCGCCGTGGACTTTGTTCATTTGAGTCGAAAAGGCGCCTGCCCAACAGCGGCCGCTGCTGGTTCTGGACAGCATTTGCTGTTGGGCATCGTGCGATCTGTTCCGCACCCATGCTGGATGTACCAAGGCGCCTTTGTTATCATTTGCCACGTCTCGCCGTCGGCGGCAGCCGGCGGAAGTAAGGTAGCGGCGGCTCCGCCGCTGGAAGGTCGGCAGAAGTAAGAGTGTGACGTCATTTTTTTGTGGTCAAGGTGTCTCGGTATCGTTTAACTGATCCCCATCCCCATCCCCATCCCCTTCGAGACCCCCGCCAAATTACCACCCCAGTTGGGGATACACCCCTCGAAACCCGACGGGAACGACCGACATCCCCATCTAGGGGGGTAAATCGGCCAGTGGGGCCCAGGCCACGCCGCTGGGGATGGGGATCGGTTAAACGATGCTCAGCGTCTGGATTGACCGCTCATCACCGTTGAGGTTGTCTCATCACCGTTGAGGTCGTCATGGTCCCCGTCGTCGGCGTCGGCGTCGGCGTCGCCGTCGTGACCGCCGCCCTCATCGCGGCCGCCAGTCATGTGGGCGCAGGGCGGTCCCCGCGCCAGCGTCCTTACACACAGGGGGGGGGATAGGGGGGGGGGCCCAGGGCGCGCGCGGGCCCTGGGCCGATGGCGAGCCTCGACAACGCCGGCCTCGCGTTCGCTCTGGTGGTGGCCGCGGGCCTCTCCACCGCTGTCGGCGCCGCCGCGGTCTACTTCAGGGTGCTGGTGAACATCGCCAGCAAGCCAGTGCTGGCCGCAGGTCTCGGCTTCTCGGGCGGCGTCATGCTGTACGTCTCCTTCGTCGAGATCTTCGTGAAGTCGCAGGAGGCCTTCCTGGAGGTGATGGAGGAGGAGGCCAATGCGTACCTCGCCGCCACAGCGTGCCTCTTCGGCGGCATGCTTCTCCTCCGGCTCATGACCACCGTGGTGCACATGCTGGACAAGGACCACGAGTGCCACGCTGGGGTGACTACCATCCCTGCCGCGTCGGACGCACACCTCGCTGCAGAGGCAGGGCCGGCGACCGCCGGGGCTGGAGATCCGGCGCAGAGCGCGTCGGAGGAGACCGTGGCAGAGGCCACCTGGCTGAGAGTCTGGGGGGGGGGCTCTTGACGGGGGCTTGCGTCCAGGGTAGGTTGTCGATGACCTGTTTGATCTGGAGCGCTCCGCGGCGTCCAGGGTAGGTTGTCGCGCAGGAGTATGTGTATGCGTGTATGTATGCATACATATCTGAGACAGAGAGAGAGAGAGAGAGAGAGAAACAGCTATACAGACATAGAGGGAGAGAGAGAAAGAGAGAGCGAGAGAGGGAGAGAAAGAGAGCGCGCAAGAGGGGCTCAAGAGACTTGATTGCAGCGATCCGGGGAGACTGGGGGGCCTTCGGAAGCCCTTGCGAGGGTCCTCCTGAGTCTCGCGGCGGAGGAATGTGGCGCAGCCAGAGACGCATTGTTTTTTGTCCAGAGCCTGTGCGGCGGATCCCGCTTACTGAGGCCTCCGAGCTTCTACGCCGCGCCCAGGTATCCAGGGGCCTCCACCCCCTCTGATTAGATTGGGGCCCATGGGAGCCTTTCGGGAGGCACCGTGGAAGCTTGGCTTACTGGAGTTTCCAAGGAGGCTCTGCTGGCCTCAAGGAGATGACGACAATGACAAGGACGATGATTACGGTGAGTATGAAGATGCATGACGGTGAGTATGACGATTGTGGTAGCGCAGTGGCGATGGTGATGATGGCAACGATGGTGGTGGTGGTAATGATGATGATGATGATGATGATGATGATGATGATGATGATGATGATGATGATGATGACGATGATGATGATGATTACGATGTTGGTGATTCGTATGATTGGTGATGATGTCGATGACGATGACCATGATGATAACGATGACGATGACAATGACAATACTGGTGATGATGCTGCTCTTAATGAGCATGATGACGATTAACATGATGATGATGCTGCTGATCATGATGATGGGGGTGATGATGATGATGATGATGACGACGACGATGAGCATGATGATGTTGCTGTTGATGACGACGGTGACGACACTGATGATGTTGATGATGATCGTGATGATGATGCTGCTGAGGATGATGATGACGGTGAGGAGAATGACAACACTGATGCTGATGCTGACGATGACGATGCGGATGACGATGCTGCTGCTGCTGCTGCTACTAATGATGGTGACGACACTGATGATGATGTTGCTGCTGCTGATGATGATGGTGATTGTGAGGATGATAATGATGGTGGTGGTGATTGTGATGATGATGAGGATGGTTATGCTGGTGATGATGATGATGACGATGATGACGATGGTGACGATTATGATGCTCATGATGCTGCTTATGTTGATGCTGCTGTGATTAGGATGCTCATGATGATGAGGCTGACCATGCTGATGATGATGACGGTGACGATGACGATAATGGTGACGAGGACGATGCCGACGACGCGAATGACTATGCTGCTGCTGATGATGATTCGGATGGTGATGCCGCCGCCGCTGCCAATAGCGATGACGATGATGATGATGATGATGATGATGATGAGGATGATGATGATGATGATGATGACGACGGTCACTATGATGATGCTGATGATGTGGCTGCTACTGATGATGATAATGATGATGATGCTGATGATGATGATGCTGATACTGATGCTGATACTGCAGATTATGATATGACGATGATGATGATGATGATGATGATGATGATGATGATGATGATGATGATGGTGATGGTGATGGTGATGGTGATGCTGATGATGATCAGCGAATTTCGGGCGGCCGAAGCTGGAGCTGTGCTCGCCAACTGGCCCCTCTTGGCGCGCAGGCTTCGCTGTCCCCGCCCACAGGCTTCCGCAACACGCTGCGGGCTCGGCCTTTCGGACCTCGGTCGCGACCGCCGCGTTCGGCGGTTGGACGCCGGCCCGTCCGTTGCCGGGCCAGGTGCTCGCCCGCCCTCAGGGCTGGTCATGCCAAGCCGTCCTCGGCAGACGCCGCCAGGGCGCCGGCCCTGCGAAGGCCCGGCTGGTGCAGCAAGCCTCGCGCGCCGACGAAGGCCACGTTCGCGCCCCTCGAGGGCCCTGTGCCATCTGGTCTCCATCTGGCCAGCCGGATCCGGTTCGATTCCGAGTCTCCGACGACTTGATGCAAGCCCGGTGCATGCATGGCGCTGCTGTGCATCCTCGTGCGGCCGATCTGATTCGATTTCGACTCCGAGCCGATACAGCTGGATCCGACGCGCATTCCGATCCGATCACATGTCTCGATTCAATGCTGACCGATCTTGCCCGCCCAGGCCAAGACCCCAGTGCGCCTGGGCCTTGCGGGCGCCCATCGCACGGGCGGAGCACTTCCTTCTTCCACGTCCCGCTGCGGGGGGGTCCTCGGCCCCTCGCCTCTGCGCAGCCCTGCCCTCGTGCACCACCGGGGTTGGTGCCCGCAGCCCAGCCCGCTATCCCTCGGGCAGCTCTCCTCGCGTCGCACATGGTGGTGATGACGATGATGATGCTGCTGCTGCTGCTGCTGCTGCTGCTGATGATGATGATGATGATGATGATGATGATGATGATGCTGGCGACGATCATGAGGATGGTGGTTGTGGTGATGGTGGCGACGATGATGAAGGCGACGCTACTGCTTACGAAGACGACGGTGATGATGCCGTGTGTCGACGAAGGCTACGGAGGAAGTATGAGCACGACTGTGATGAGGACGACGAGGATGAGGAGCACCATTCGTTTCCTGGGGCAGTCGCGGGGGATATGCTTGGGAGAGGGGGAAGGGGGCAGGGGCAGGGGCAGGGCGTGGGGTGGAGGGATGGGGCTTGGGGGGCAGAGGAGGGGCAGCCCGACCCCCCAGTTGGGCTCCGCCCCCCCCCCCCCTCGAACTCGGAGGTGTACGCCGGGCGGGTTTCCGCCCTGGACCCTTTTTTGGGGGGGGGGGAGCTCGTGGACTGGGGGCGAGAAGGCGAGGAATCGCCTGCAGCCCTCTTCGGCCCTCCTCCCCCCCCGAGCCTACACACTGTCCCTTTCTGATTCTTCGAGAGTGCTTGAATTTTTGTTGGGGGGCCAGGATCCTCTCCTTTCTAGTTCTTCTGTCCTGGGCCTCTCCCTGGCCACTGGGGGGCCAGGAACAATTGGAAACGAGCACAATTAGAAATGAGCAGGATTAGAAATGAACGACGTGTACGATGGGCGGGCGTGCACCCTCGATCGTGTTTTTTGTTGAGGGGGGGGAGCTCGTGGATTGCGAGCGAGGGGCGAGAAATCGCCTGCTACCCTCCTCGGTCCTCCTCCCCCTCCAAGCTCAGCCCTCCCCAGATGCCCAGCCGGCCGGGCAGGCTCAGGCCGCCAAGGACGCGCGGCTGCAGTCCATGGGCCTCAAGACGGCGCTCGCCATCGCGATCCACAACCTCCCGGAGGCCCATCGAGGGGGAAGGGCCCCCCCCCCCCCGCCCCTCCCCCTTTCCCCTTGGAGGACGAGAATTGCACATTGAAGTTTTAAGTGTTCGACAGTTCTTTGACTTTTAGGGGGTCAAGATCCTTTCATTTCTAATTGTTCTATCCTGGGCCTCTTCCAGGCCACTAGGGGGCCAGGAACAGTTAGAAACGAGCACAACTAGAAATGAGCACGATTATAAATGAACGACGTGTATGCTGTGGTGTCTACCCGTGTGCACGCTGGGCCAGGGCTATATCGGACCATTCGGGGTCGATGTTGGACACAGACAGATGTGCATGTGGCGGTCCTGCTCATTCACTCGCGACTCACGTGCGGTTACAGACGAACCGAGGTGGGGCCAGGTCGTACCCAGTCGGGCACCCGTAGCGTATCCTCTATGTGAAGACGTTTTTGACCCCGCAAGAGGGCCTCGCGACGTTCGTGGCCACGCTAGCAGAGCCGAGCGTGGGCGTGACCCTGGCGGTTGCCATTGCCATCCACAACATCCCGGAGGGCCTGTGCGTGGCACTGCCTATCTATCGAGCTGCCTGCGGCAAACCTTGCCACCCGCGCCAGCGCAGCAGCGCAGCAGGAAGGAGGCTGAATCGAATTCCCGGTCAACTGCAGCGCCGTGTCTGAACTGATCTGAACTGGTGCGGGTCTTACACGCCCTCCGCTTGTCCGCAGCCGCGTTCTCCACAAGGTTTCTCGGGGGCTTCTTCGGGGCCTCTTGCGGGCGGGTTGGGGTCCTTTTGTGGACCTCCAGGGGGCCTGGTCGGGGCCCGTCGGGGGATTCGGGGCCTCCGGGAGCACAAGTGCACCGAGAACCACGCGTGATGAGCATTTTCACATCACAGCGCCCTGAAGAAGCGAGCCATCCCTGGAAATCTTTTGTTGTTAATTTCAAATGCCCCAAGCGGCCGCAGGATCAGCTGACACGCCTCTGCAGAGTCGTTCGTTCGTTCTCCTCCTCCTCCTCCTTCTCCTCGTCCTCCTCCGCCTCCACCTCGTCCTCCTCCTCCTCCTCCTCCTCCTCCTCCTCCTCCTCCTCCTCCTCCTCCTCCTCTTCCTCCTTCTCTTCCTCCTTCTCCTTCTCCTCGTTCTCCTCCTCCCCTTTCTCGTTCTCCTTCTCCTCCCCGTCCTCGTCGCGTTTTCTCGCCCACTGCCGTTCCCACCCCTGCATCACCGCCCCCTCCTGCTGCTGTTCCTCCTCCTCCCCCGCTCCTCTCCCTCCCCCCTCTCCGACACGGGTGGATGGGCGCTGGCGCAGATCTGCGACGAAGTCGTCTTCGTCGTCGTCTTCGTCGTCGTCGTCGTCGTCGTCGTCGTCGTCGTGGTCGTGGTTTGCAGGCGGCGAGCAAGGGGGGGGGTCGAAACCCCCCGGGAGGGCCTGGGGAGGGGGGGGGGTTCGAACCCCCCACCCTGGCGCAGGAATGTGTCGTCGTCGTCGTCGTCGTCGTCGTCGTCGTCGTCGTCGTCGTCGTCGTTGTCGTTGTCGTTGTCGTCGTCGTCGTCGTCGTCGTCGTCGTCGTCGTCGGCGGCTGCCGGCGGCTATGGCTTGGGGGGTAGGGGCAGGGGGGGGAGGGGAGGGTTCGAACCCCCCCGGGGGGTCCTGGGGGTGGGGGGCTGGCGCAAGAATGTGATGTGTCGTCGTCGACATCGTCGTCGTCGTCGTCGTCGTCGTCATCGTCGTCGTCGTCGTCGTCGTCGTCGTCGTCGTCGTCGTCGTCGTCGGCGGGCGGCTGCCGGCGATTTGGGGGGGGGCTCGACCCCCCTGGGGGAGATCGGGGAGGGGAGGGGCTTTGCACCCCCCCCTCCTTTTTCTGGGGGGGGAGGGGGGGGGCCCGGTTCCCGAAACCCTCCCCCACCCCTTCGTTTGCGGGGGTGGGTGGGGTGGAAACCCCTCTCCCCCACCTGCCAGTGGCGCCAGACAGCGCTCTTTCCAAAACACCTTCCTGACCCAAGCTTTTCACTCTTGCAGCCGTTTTGGGGGCCGTAGGCCGAGAGGATGCCAGGAAACATGTTAGGGGCGATTTTCAAGGGTTTTTGCTTCGAGGGTCGCCCCCAGAAAACGACAGGAAGCGTGCCAGAAACTTACAGGCATTCTAACACTGATCGCGCAGGCGTGGTTGCGGATTACGCTTCTGGCAGCAGGCACCTGGGTTTCTTCTGGGCGTTAATTTCGGGCATATCTGAGCCCATTGGGGCGCTGATCGGCTATCTAGTCATCAAGGGCTCCGGGGAAGACATGGACCAGACCGTCTATGGGCTTCTCTTCGGAGTCGTAGGTGGCATGATGATCATGATAGTGCTCTTGGAGCTCATACCCACTGCGCTGCGATACGACCCAGCTGACCGGTTCGTCACCAACTCGTTAGTTCTCGGCATGGTGGTGATGGCTGTTTCGCTAGTCCTGTTCATGGCGTAGCACAGAGCGCTGACCGAAACACGAGTCATTCGGCATTGCCGTCTTTACCGTCGTCCTCGGGTTCAAGCGGAAGCATGCGCTGAATAAATCTTTGACACGCGGGCCCATAATGTGTGGTTTGTCGCGTTTGATGTGCGCTTGCCATGCGGCCAGCTTGGATTTGCCAGCCTGTCAGCGTGGAGGGCAGCACATATTCTCGATGCCAGGCATCTTTCCTGCCTCTCGAGAATTCCCTGCATTATGTCTTCTTTTCCAAGGCACGCGCTGTATGGCTGTTGTGAGTTCCTGATATTGCCATTTTCTCGACTATGTGCTAGATTAGTGAGCTTGCGAATCAGCAAGTTCGTATCTATGGTATTCCGTAATTAGTGGCAGTGTTTGGGAAGTACTCTCTGAGCTCCAGAATGTCATTGCATCGAAGACGCCTGCGGCGACTCAACGCCGACCCCTACCTTTCTGGCCGATGTGATCAAACGTCGGGCCAAGGCTTGGCCAAGCTATTTGAGTATATGCCTCCCCAGCCGTTGTGGAAGCCCTCGGGGGAACACTTGAGGGATGAAGTGGGAAATGCGGAGAGGGATGAGAAGGAGGACGCGTATGATGATGATGATGATGATGATGATGATGATGATGATGATGATGATGATGAAGATGAAGATGAAGATGCTGCTGATAATCATGATGATGAAGATGACGATGACGATGCAGATGATGATGATTATGATGACGATGATGATGATGATGATGATGATCATGATGATGAAGATTGATGATGATGATGCTGATGATGATGGTGGTGGTGGTGGTGGTGATGATGATGATGATGATGATGATGATGATGATGATGGCGGTGGTGGTGGTGGTGGTGATGATGCTGCTGATGCTGATACTGCTGCTGATGATGATGATGAGGAGGAGGAGGAGGAGGAGGAGGAGGAGGAGGAGGAGGCCTCTTAGGGTCCTCCTGGGACCTCTTGAATGCCTCTTGGGGCCTCCGTGGGTCTCTTGGGGGTCTCGTGGGGGCCTCTCGGGGCTTCTTGGAGGTCTCTTTAGAGCAGTCTTGGGGCGCTCTTGGCCCGTCTGACTCTGTCGGTTGCTGTCTTGGGGGCTGTCTTTGTGGCCTCCAGGGGCGCTTTAGCGCCGTCTTGGAGGTGCCTTGGGGCCATCTTGGGGCCGTCTTGGGGTCTTTTTGGGCCATCTTAGCATCTTGGGGTCCTCTTGGAGGCCTCTTGGGCCGTCTTGAGACCATCTTGGGGGCTTCTTGGGCCGTCTTGAGCTGTCGGAGGTCCGAACACGCGCGAGTGTCATCATATTTTTTAAACGAGTAAGCAACCAACGATTTGGGCTTGATCGGGCCCTCCTGGAGGTCCTCTTGGAGGCCTCTAGGGCCGTCATGGGGACCTCTAGAGGGCCTCTTGGGTCGTCCTGGGCCATCTTGAGGCCATTCTTGGTAGTTTTGTGGGCGTCTTCGAACCGTCCTGGAGGCCATCTTTGGCCATCTTGGCCATCTTAGAAGCCCTCTTGGAGTCGTCTTGGACGGGAAAGCCGATTGGAGATACATTTTTGGATTGGCCGGCGGGATGAGCCGAATGCCATCGGAATTTGGTCGGAAGGACTTACAAGTGCTTCTGGGTCTGGCACGCCAAGCGCCCTACACCCGCCTCCGTCTCGTCCTCCTCGCACTTTTTCCTGATTCGTCTAACGAGCCGAGTGGACGAGAGCGGCTCTTCCCGGTCTCGTCCGGTCAGGTTGCATTGTCGTTGCACGCGCCACTTGGGAGCAGCTTCCCGCAGAGTATATCTTCAGCGGGATTCAGTCTGAGCCAGCGTTGAGCGCTCCCAAAACTTATCATCGCCGTCATGGCCGTTGTCACCGCCGCCTCCGTCGCAGTCGGCATCGTCGTCGTCCTCATAATCGTGATCAATTTGGTCTGGCCGAGAGGCGCGCGATAGTAGTTTCGCATGACTATTTGCTGATGCCAGGCGGCTAGGCCTCGCCAAGAGACTTCACCACAGTGTCAAGAGGGGTACTTTCCAAAGGGTGAATCAAGTGAGCCTCGGAGTTGATGCATGGCTTAAAATGGCTGCGCACGACCAGCCTTATTTTGTTACAGGGTCGTTCTTGCGAGCAAGAACTCAATGGCATGGGAGGTTGGGCTTCCAGGAAGGAACTCATCTCGGAGGCTTCGAGGCGCAGGCTTCAGCACTATCTCACCAATACATTCCTTCTTCCAGCGTCTCCCAGACTCTTCAGTTGGCGCCCTCCTCTGCTCCACCTGCAGCCCGGGCTCGCGCGCAGCGAGCCGCGACCAACCCGCGTGTGCCTGTTGTGGCGCGGTTCTACCGGAAGCGCTCTATAGGGAAACGACGGGAGTGGGAGGCAGGGGACCAACCGCTCCCTCCCGTATCCTGCCCTCTCTCCATTTCTTATTTCCTAGGGCGAGCGTGTAACAGAGGGAGAAGGGAGGGGATGAGAGGGCAGGGAGAGAAAGAGGTGAGCTGGGAGGAGAAGTAGGAGGAGGAAGAGGAGGAGGAGGAGGGGGAGGAGGAGGAGAACGAGAGGAGGATGAGGGGGAGGACGGCGCTCCCATTTGCCTCCCTCTTCCGCTCACCCCTCCTGCCCTGCGTTGCGACAGCTTGGATGCCTCGGCATCAGCTTGCCTGCTTCGCGAAGAGCGCCCTGGTGGCCCACCGCAGACGCCTCTTCCTGGCGTCGCCCTGGACCCCCTGGCATTCCGAGACAGCGGCGCCAGGTTCGAACCCCTGCAACCGCAGCGCAGTTGTTTGGTGCGACGAGTGTGGCAAAAGCTTCGGACCAGATGGCTGCGCCTGGGTCGGCATTGAGATCCGGCAGCTCCTCGCCGCCAAGAGGAAAGCTGCGTACCTGCGAGGGGTGTGATGCCGGTGGTGGTGCGTGGGCTGCTGGAGAGACGAGTTGAAGTCCAAGGGGCAGCCCATCCCGGAGGATGCGAAAATTTCGACCTTCCCGTCCACCCTGGACGGCCAGGGGAAAGTCAGTGGCGATCAGCATGCGCGCCGGCCGCTCCCGAAAGGGTGCCAGGTGCTCATGCTTGGCCTCACCGTCCCCAGGAGTCGCGCCGATGACAGATTCGGGGCACATGCGGCCCGGAAAGGACACACAGCGAAGCGCCATGGCTACCGTCTTGTGGCCGACGAGGTGGGGGGGCGGCTCCAGCCAGACCTCCCCGGGGGATCGGTGGCGGGGCCAGTCGAGGAGGTGCGGGTGGAGTTCCACCTGTGCGTCCGCGTCGGCACTAGGTGGCTTACGATTTTGGGGCGGCTCGAGCACTGCGCGCCTTGCCTGCAATGTAAGTTAGAGGGGGAGGGCGGCCTGCCCGGCCTCTCGCTGGCGCGGGCGCCAGCGGCTTGGCGGACGCGGCGCTCCCGGACGCATGGACGGAGTGGAGGCCCCGGCGCTGGGCCCGCGCAGAGTCGGAACGGCCCTGGAGATGGTCCAGCAGCGGCGCGGGCTGCGCGCGTTGGGGCTCCCAGGGCAGGGGCAGCCGGCGGCGCAGAGGACGCGGTTGGGGTACTCGCGGCGCGCGGGGAGCGCTTCTTCGCGGAGATAATGGGAGGACCCGCGCGACCGCCCGTGCAAAGTTCCCAGGCGCGCCATCCAGCGGGGGCCACGATGGAAGGCGAGAGACAGCAGGGGCGAGACCTGGCCAGAGACCATCAACCGCCTCAAGGGCACCTGCGGCGCCTTTCCCGCGGAAGGCCGGAGCAGGGATTGTGGCCGGAGGGGTGGGCAGGGCCGGGGCCCGGGCGGTGCAGCCCTTAATTGGGGCTTCGACGTTTCCTGCTGCGCTTGTCTGGGTGACCTGGCCGGAGCTCAGCGCGACGTTCGCGCCCTCCGCCGCTGTCGCCTGGAGTGTCGACCGGGGCGGTGTCTGGCAGCGGCAGCAGGGCCGCCGGGCCCGGGCAGCCGGCGGGAGCAGGCCACGCAGGCAAGCGCCCCAGTGAGGCCTCGTGGCTCGCCAGAGGTCGCTCCCGCGCGCGAGGGCTCCAGCTGGGCGCCTGGCCTGCCAACCGCAGGCGAGCAATCGCAATCCCTGGGCCCGGCGCGGTGCGGCCACGGGCCCCTCCAGAGCTGCGATGCGGCGCGGCGCCTTCCACCCCGGGAGGCGCCCCGCATGCTTCCACCTGTTCGTTCGCGCGCCAGTTAGGTGCTTCCCGCCGGGCGCGCCATCCATCCCAGGTGGCGCGCCTTCTCTGCCCCTCGGGCGCGCCGTCCGCCCCTGGTGGCGCGCCCCCCTTCCGCCGCGGGCGGTCCGCCCCAGCTCGTTATAAATTTGCGCGTGCGCCGTTTAATGCTTTCCCGACCGGCGCGCCATCCGCCCCGGGTGGTGCGCCCCTCTCCGGCTCTCGGGCGCGACGCCCACCCTGAGCGGCGCGCCTCCCTTCCGCTTCGTGCTTTCCTCGGGCCGTCATTCACCTGCATGCGCGCCGGTCCTATAGGTGCTTAAGCGTGGGCGCGTGGGCGCGCCATTTTACCCGGGTGGCGCGCCCTCCCCCGCCCGGGGCCCGCCGCCCACCCCGGGCGATGCGCCCCCCTCCCGCTGCGGCTTGCTTGCCCAGCCTTTCGCTCATCCTGCCCGTGCGCCAGCAAGGCGCCCCTGGTCATTCCCCTGGGCGGGGCGCGCCGCCCATGCCAGGTGGTGCGCCCCTCCTCCCGACGCGGGCGCGCCGCCCATCCCTGGTGGCGCGCGCGGCGCCGCCCCCCCCGGGCTCCGCTTTGCGCCCGCGCC